GTCGAGGAGTACATCTAGTTAGAAGAAATGGAGTCCTGGGTCAAGACACACTGGGACTCCGATCGCCGCCACCACTCGCCAGCTGGTGAACAATTCAGGCAGAGGCAGCAAAAGCGAAGATGAATCAAAGGAAAATCAAAACATTTTCTGAGTGAGAAAAACTCAATATTGGGGGGAAAAAACTCACTGGCACAGTCTATTCCAACTCATAGCGACCCTACAGGGCGGGGGTTCTCAACCTGTGGGTCGCGACCCCTTCGGGGGTTGAATGACCCTTTCACAAAGGTTGCCCGATTCATAACAGTAGCAAAATGACAGTGGTGAAGTAGCAACGAAAATCATTTTATGGTTGGGGGTCACCACAACATGAGGAACTATATTAAAGGGTCACAGCATTATGAAGGGTGAGAACCACTGCTCTAGGACAAGGTAGCACTGCCGCTGTAGGTCTCCAAGACTATAACTCCTTACAGGAGTAGAAAGCCTCCCACAGAGTGGCTTGTGGTTTGGAACTGCTGACCTTGAAGTTAGCAGCCCAACACATAGGCACTAACCACTAGGTCACCAGGGCTAGCTACAAGTATTCCTAATCTACTCTACAATATATGAAACTTTTATGGAAATTGATTTGAAAACTGAAAAACCTCAATTAAGAATACAAAAATTGACCACAAGCTCTAAGGAAGCAATTGACAGAGAGACGTAAGTGGGCAATAAGAATATGCTAAGTGCTCAGCCCACAAGATGCTGCTGGAGAGGAGCTGGGGACACAGAATGGCCAGTGGGGCTGATCTGTGATGCAGGCTACATTTCAGAAGGAGGGTGATGGAGCAATCCGCATTAAAACCCTAACTCCATGCACTTTTTACTCTAAAACTTCACTTCTTTAAGCAGCCTAAAAAAATTAAATAAATCCCCCAGAGCATCTATCACAGCATAATGTTTCATAAACAAAAGTAAAATAAAGGGTGGAACCCACTTAAATATAGAACAAGTATTCATTGCCTGCATAGGAATTAGAAGAGGCACTTATACTTTCGTGAACTAAAGTCATCCCTTATGAAATTTATTATTTTAAAAACACTGCTGCCATCTTCTGAAAGTAAAAATAACTATATGGTTTGAAACTCACTCGGTAACCATCTTTTATTGAAATAACTGTCTCTGTTAGTGCCGTTGGGTCGGCTCTGCCTCATAACAGGCCTGTGTACGGCAGAGCGCCACACAGCCCAGGGCTACGCCTCCTCACAGTCACGCTGTGTTTGAGCCCCTTGTTGCAGCCACGGTGTCAAGCCATCGCACAGAGGTGCTTCCTCTTCGTCACTAATCTTGTTTTGCCAAGCATGATGTCCTTCTCCAGGGAGTAATCCATTTCTGCTACCGTGTCCAAACTGGGAAACAAAGCCTCTTGTTTCTAAGGAGCATCCAGGTGTACTTCTTGGAAGGCAGATTTGTTCCTTCTGGTATCTGCAACACCCTTCACCAAAACCATAAATCAAACACATCAGTGCTTCTGGGTCCTTCCTTATTCACTGTCCATCTCTCCCACTGCCGTGCGGTGGTTGGGACACTGATTCGGGTAATAGCTGTACTGACTGGCACGCGGGGACTAGCCTATCACTGACGGCATTGTACTTCAGGAAGCAGCAGAGAAACCAAGCCGGAGACCGGTTTCTGCCTGCATTCATCTACCTGAGCATTTATGGAGCACCTACTACGGGCCAGGAATAGTGCACACCGATGAGTGCAGGGAAGACAATTCAGCAAATAGGTGATCTTCCGGAAAACGAAACTGGAAATGCATTTGGTGAGTGAGCGTGCCTTATGCTCCCCCCCACCCCCTACCCAAATATACTTGGCCACCTCTTCCTGCCCTTGCAATCTGCATTTTCTACAGGTGATTTGTAATAGTGCCTCCTACTCCATGTTTTCCCCAGATCCTCTCTGTCTGGAACCCTGAGTACTGAGGAACAGAGATCAGCTCATAAAGGGCATATAGGCAGCTCTCCCTGGGAACAATAAGCCCCACCCAAAAAAAGAGGTGGCCACTCTCTGCAAACAGCGGTTGTTGCCCCAAGCTCGGCTAGAACCCCTAGTGATCAGGGCTCTCTCCTGAAGCCGCCAGATGCCGCGACAGTTTAACAATGGCTCCCTCTTGTGGTCTCTTCCTTTGGTGAGAAGAGCTCATCACTCCCAGCGAACAGCCCATTTCAGTGAACCAATGGACATAACATACATAATAAATTCTGCTGGGGGGGGGGTAGAAAGGGAGAATGGGGGGGTAGAAAGGGGGAATCGATCACAAGGATCTACATATAACCCCCTCTCTGGGGAATGGGCAACAGAAGGGTGGGTGAAGGGAGATGCCGGGCAGTGTAATATAAGATAATAATTTATAAATTATTAAGGGTTTATGAAGGAGGGAGGAGCGGGGAGGGAGGGGGGGTAAGGAAAATGAGGAGCTGATTTCAGGAACCCAAGCGGAAAGCGAATTTTGAGAATGAGGGCAACAAATGTATAAGTGTGCTTTACACAATTGATGTATGTATGGATTGTGATAAGAGTTGTATGAGCCCTAATAAAATGATTTAAAAAAATAATAATAATAAATTCTGCTCCTGCCTTATTGAGTAACTCGTCCATTACAGATTTTAAGATTTCAGAAAATGTTGCCAAAAAGTAATTTAAGAGTTCTGAGATAACTACAGAGGTTGGGCGTGCTGCATCTTATTACTATAATTTTTTTTCAACTGAGTTGGAATAAAACTGCACCCATGATAGAAATCCCAATTTTGTATTGAGAAAAAGAAGAAAAGACCTCTTTCTCCAGCTGTGGGCAATGCATGGGCGTTAGCGCTATGGTTATAAGAGCAAACGCTGGGGATTCAAGTTCAGTCAGATGGGATGCTCACTTACTGAGTACGTTCCACGTGTTAGACTCCGTGAGTTGTATAAAACTCAAATGGCCGCTGCCCTTCATGCTTGCCTCCCCCACCCCCACCCCGGGGGGAGACACACCTACTTACATAAAGACATGTGTGGCAAGACCAGCACAGGCAGCTCCGGTCACAGAGAGGCAAGCCTGCTACATACAGCGTGGCTGCAGGCACTGGCTGGGGATTCTGTCTCTCCTCATCACTCAGCAAGAACCTCCAGCTACGGAAGTTTCCTATCTGTCAAACATGGGTAATGCCGGCATCTCCCTCACAGGGTTACTGCCAAGATTAAATCTGGCACCACCGTACTGTCAATACTGGTGTCGTCATCACGAGCCTGTGAGGTAGGCTTAGGCTGACCACGGGCTCTGGGCGACGTTCAATACTGGTGTCGTCATCACGAGCCTGTGAGGTAGGCTTAGGCTGACCACAGCTTAGGCTGACCACGGGCTCTGGGCGACGTCTTGCATGATGGTGAGGATTTTCACGTGCACTGATGGGAGAGAGGGCATTTGACAAACAGGTGAACCCCATCGCGGGCCTGGAGGCGAGTGAGAAGGGGTCAGTGACGGTGGGCACCTAAAATCTGGCACTGGGGCACGGCACCAGAGCAAGACTACTGAGAGACCAAGGGGGGCGGGAATCTGCCTGCAGAGGTGCGAAGGCCAGCGGAAACCCCAGACGTTACCCTGCAGGCAGCAGCAGCCTGAGGAGCTTGGTGGCCCAACGCTTAAGAACATGAGCTGAATCTGGGCTGTACGAGCTGCGTGGCTCTCTGCCTCCCCTCTCACTGGTAAGCATAAGGAAATCACGTACTCACGTCACGGGGTGTGGTGGGCACTGAGATTTTACATGCAAAGCACCATGAACAGTGAGTGCTTGGAAGAGTACACGGGGGGAGGGGGTCCCATAAGTTAATGGGGGCGTGTCAGCTATCTTTTAAATTCCACTCTTTCTGGAACTTTCTGAAGGCCCCTCATGTAAGCGCTTGCTGTCAAAAGGCAGGAAGTTGGCCTGTGGTCCCGCCCCCTGTCATCCTGAGACAGCCCTCCGGGAAACCATCAGCTCTGGCAAAGGATCCCATGGCGCCAGCGAAGGGTGTGTGTCCGCATTTCAGTTCTGTCCCTCCTTGTGGGGGGAAGTCAGATACTTACTGCCAGACTGCTGTCTCATCCCACCACGGGGCTGGGCCTGCTCCCTGATACTAGAGACAATGGGTTACCCCTCTCTGGAGCCTAAGACCATTAGTTTGGTTCCTGTGGGCGGAGTTCACACCCAACTGATAATGGTTCCTATGGAGACCCAAAATCAAGTTAAGCTGCTACCAGAAATCTAGGATCCGCCTATCTTGCCGCATGTACACCCCCAATCCCTCCTCCTTCCATAGCGCATATGTCCCTAGATCACCCCCTCCCTTCACTGTAATACCTGTAGCACAACCCTTTCCTGTGACGTATGTCTTCACCTGTAACGTGGGGGCTTGCAATGTCCCCCATGTCCCCAATGTCCCCAGAGAGTATAAAAGCTTGGGGAGCATTAAAGTTCTCCCTCACTCTCTCCACGTGGACCACCAAGCTGGGCTGAGGTGAGCATGCTACCATGAAACGTGTCTGACTCCATTTGTTTCTATATATCTCTTTTATCTCTCATGCTCTCTATAACTTTACTATAATATTTACTTATTATCGCTGTACAATTGCGCCTACCAAACCCGTAGTGATTGTGCTAGGAGCTGGCTTCTTCTGGCACCTCCTCCCTCCCCAAATTGCCACCAGGAAAATAAATGTTCTTTCACACTGACACTGTCTACAAGCCAGGCGGGCATGTCACTGCCACGGAACAGACAAGAGTCAAGGCTGCTGCTGAACTAAGTCGTCCGTCCACAGCCTCCTTGGTGGCCTGTCCATCTCCCTCCCATCACAGTGGCCCGTGCAGAGGGCCAGCTGCGACCTTTCGGAGGAGGCGGGCCCTGGGCTCACTGGTGGACACACTGGTGGTGATGGGAGGCCAGGGCGTGAGCTGGGCGCAGAGTTGAGGTGCTCAGGCCAGCAGGACCCCACTTACTTCCAGATCCGTCCTTGACCCGAGGGCCTTCCGGCTTGGCCTCGGAAACAATGTTTGCGTTGGCGTTATTCTCCATCTCAAGCACAAAGTCGCCGTCCTCGTCAAACTCGGGGTGACTGAAGATCCAATCCAGGGCTCTCTCCAGATTATGATTCTAATGAAATAAAGCAAGTTTACAATGGATGCACAGTCCCCGGGCCTCACAGTCCCCGGCTACTGGAGCCAGACGGTGGCGCAGATACAGCAGGAGGCCTGACCTCACTAGGCTTTAAGTGCCCTGAGTCAGATACTCTGGCTCGGCGGATGAAACGCAGATTCGGTTGACACCCTGCAAGGCCAGCCCCAGATCTATAATTGGACTCACTAGGAAAATGCTCCAAGCAGCCGAGCAGCCTCCGAAAGGCCACATCAATCACAGCTCAGCATTGCTATGGGCAGATGCACAGAAAGCAGAGGAATCTCTGTGCAGCCTTCCCTGTGGCCCACACTCCACTCCCCACTGCGGCGCTTTCTGCAGGTAAGCAAACAGCACTGAGGGTGGTCGCTGTGGGAGCCTCCTCTCCCCGGACAGTGGAGGCACGGAGGGTGAGTGCCTTATGGCTAAGATGGATGCCTTGATTCCTGACGACTACTCCAGTTAGTTAAGCAATTTTGAAACTGAACTCCATGCGATTCAAGCCAATTAACCACGAACGCAGCCCAGCTGTGGCTTCTTAGTTAAAGAATTTGTTGCGACCCAGTCAGAACTGCCCGTGGATCAGTCAGCAAATAAAGTACACCGGGTCCTAGAAAGAGCCCTGAGTGGATCAAGCTGTGTTTGAGCTCGTCTGAGCATCTTAATGGGACATCGAAGGCTCTGGCCACATGGTCACCAGCAGCCAGGCACGAGCCACTTGGACCTCCACCAAGAAGCCAAGCAGGTGACCCCCCAGGACAGGCAAGAAGGGATCTGCAGCTGACCTACACTGGAAAATGGATTAGGACGCGCTGAGAAAGGAGGGGTTAAAAAAATGAATTTCTCACATATATTTGTGATGCAAGATGACTTCTATCCGCATCTCAGTCTCACAGCCTCCTCTCCTGGCACATAAATGTACCTCATGTGCAGCTACCATCCATCCATCTCTGAGTAGTGCACCACAACGCTAGGATGCTGCATAGCTTTCTGTGGAGCTTCCAGACTCCGACAGACTAGGCAGCAAGGTCTGGTAATCCACTTCTAAAAACACAGGTGATGAAAAACCCGACGGAGCACAAAAGCCTGGTCCACAAGTGATCATGGGGCTGGTGCAGGACCAGACAGCATTTCCTTCCCTGGAGCCTCAGGTCCCAATGAGTCAGGGTCCATCAACAGCAGCTCTCTCTCTACAGAGAATCCCTGTGAGCCACGCAGTCTTCCCTGGGAGGGCTTCTGAGAGGCCCTTCACCCTGGACTTACTGGTAACGCTGAACCTCACACACTTGTCTTTGTTCTAGGGCCACTACCAAACAAGTTCCAAGTCGAATCTGGAGAGCCCTGGCTAACACTTAAAATGATAGAGTTTGATAGTCTGTTTGGATATCTTGTCCCGCCACCATCTGTCTGTCAATGGTCATACTCTGGTGGCTTGTGTGATACTGTGGAAGCGATGTCACCAATATTTCAAATAACAGCAGAGTCACCCAAAGCGAACCGGTTTCAGCAGAGCTTCCAGACTAAGAAGAGTCTATGAAGAAAGGATAGGCTGTCTACTCCAGAGGAATTAGCCACTGGAAACCTATGGACAGAAGCAAATATTGTCAGACACGAAACCCTCATGACGAGCGGGAGAACAGGATCAGAGAGAGTCCTGGGGTGAGCCTCTCTGATCGGAAGGGGCTCAAAATACGAAGGAGGAAGAGCTGCCTTCTCAGAGTGGACGTGACCATCATGACACGGACGGAGCAAAGTCTCCGGGACCTTCACGTGCTGTTGGGGCAGAACTCGAAACGAGAAGAAATAGCTGTAAACATCTATGAAGAATTGGAACTTGGAATGTATGACTCTAGAAAAACGGAAGTCATCAAAAATAAAGCGGAACGCATCAGGATCGATACCTAGGCATTAGGCGCTGACATGGGCTGGTGTCGGTCATTTTTAACCTAGTCAGAAAGTTATATGGGTTACTATCCTGGGAAGGCCAACTCCCAGAGGAATGGCATCCCATTCGTCATCAAAAGGGAGAGGTCAAGATCTCTCTCGAAGTACAATGCTCTCGGTGACAGGATCATAAGAGCAAGGCTGTGACTTGAGGACTGAGGTGCTCCGGACTACGCCATGGTATTTTCAATCGCCTCGTCTGCCCGTGGACGTCGGCCACTGAAGGATGACAGGCGATGAATCAGTGCGTGTGAGCTATGGTGCTGGCAGGGAGTTCTGAAAGTACCATGGGCTGCGAAAGGAACCAACAAATCTGTCTTGGAAGATGTCAAGCCAGAACATTCCTTAGAAGCAAGGGCGGTGAGACTTAGTCTCGTGTACTTTGGACACGGTATCCCTGGACCAGGACATCAGCTGTGGGAAAGCTGGGATCCGTGAAAGAGAGGAAGGCCCTGGACAAGATGGATTGGCACAGTGGCTGCAACAATGGGATCCAAGACAGCACAATGGTGAGGATGGTGCAGGGCCCGGCGGTGTTCTGGTCTGCTGTGCATGAGCTGGACCCAACCTGACGCACCTAAGCGCAACAACATCTTGAGTCCCAGCTTGATGAGCTCCTAGTCTGAAATCCTCAGGACTGAGTCCCTTCAACACTTACTTTAGCTTCTTGGATACTAACTGCGGATACACCTTTGTGAGACAAAGTGGGGTACTGTCAAACAAGCATGCTTCAAAAGGATCAAAGGGCATCGCGAAATCTCCATTGCTACAGTTACAAACACAAACTACCCCCAAATGGAGGAAGGCAAGTACATCCGCGTCTACAGAGCCAAACCCATTCTCCCAGGCTCACCGTGGCTCGAAGTGCCTGAATAGCTTGGTTTCTCTGGAACCCCATGGAGGTGATGATGGCTACAATTTCCTCTGGAGGCTGGTTATCCAAGCCAGTAGCACCAAAAGCTGAGGCTCCAGCAGAAGATGCTCCTCCATAGCCAGGTAGGGTCAGCGGTTCCGCAAAATCTAGGGAAAACAATCAGACGCAATGCTTTTTATGTGAGAGCTGCATAAACAACAATTTAAAGCTTAGGAGGGAAGATACCTACAAAGTTAGAATCATCACAACCGTATGGTACTGGCACTAATGGTGCAGCCACCATGTCAATCCATCTCCATATTGAGGTCCTTGCTCTTTTTGGCTGCCCCTCCACTTAACCCAAGGTGATGTCCTTCTCCAGGGACTGGTCTCTCCTGACAATAGGTCCAAAGTATGTAAGACGAAGCCTTGCCATCTTTCACTTTTTAAGCTAATAAAACTGTAGTGCTAGTTGTGGTATATTCACTGCGGATTCACTCCAAGACAATTTTTTAGAACCCAAAGGGATAGTGGGAGTCAACAGGAGAGAAAGTAAAGGCGCTGTGAGGACAACAAGTTTGTGGCCACTATCCCAAAGGGACAGTGGGGAAACAGCCCTCAATCTGGGGCAAGCAGGTTAGAAGACTAGGTGTCATTTGAACTCCCCACACTTGAAGCTGCCGTCTGTTATTTGGCACGCTGAAGGAAGGTTTGTTTCCTCTACCTCGTGAACACTGATCCAGCTCCCGGTGGTTAGAGTCAGAGAGAGAGAGAGAGAATGCACATGATATGGAGACAGCTGGAATGACCACGGAGAAGCAGGAACCTGAGGGCTGGATCAACCACCACATTTTGAGCGTTGGATTAATGCTGATCCTTACCAACCAATACCCAGAAGAAATAAAAGTGCATGTCCAGTCAACCACGTTATTCTTGATAGCCAAAAGGTGGAAACAACCCCATGTTCGTTAACTGAGGAATGGACCGATAAAATGGGATGTTATTCCTCAATGGGAAGGAAAGAAATCTGGTACATGCTACAGCATGGGTATAAGTTGAACATATTCTGCTAATGTAAGAAGTCGGACACCAGAGACCATCTATCTTATGATCCCACTGATACACAATGTCCACACCGGTCAATTCCACAGAGGCAGAAAGTAAACTACAGTTTGCCAGAGGCTGTGGAAGGAAGGGATGAGAAATTAATGAGCACGGAGTTTCTATTGAAGGAGCTGAAATGCTATAAAGTTCGGTAGTTATCATGGTAGTTGAACTCTGACTGCATGGAACTGTACATTTTATTTTTTTAATTTTTAAAAAATCATTTTATTGGGGGCTCTTTTAACTCTTATCACAATCCATCCATTGGGTCAAGCACATTTGTACATAAGCTGCCATCATCATTTTCTTTCTACTTGAGCACTTGGTATCACCTCATCACCCCCACCATCCTCCCTCTCTCATGAACCCTTGATATTTTATCAGTTATAATTTTTTTCATGTCTTACACTGACTGCTATCTCCCTACATCCACTTTTCTATGGTTCATCCCCCTGGGAGGTGGTTCTGTGTCGATCACTGTGATTGATTGAACTATACATTTTAAAAAGGTGAACAGTATCTCAAGAAATCTATTATTTTCCAAGAGAGAGAGAAGAAAGATGGAGATTGTGAGCTTAGTTGGCTACCCCAGGAAAGTCCCCCATTGCAGTTGATCACAGACTTTCGGAGGCACACCCACAGAGGACGTGGCAGAACCAAGGCTTAGCATTGCTGAATGTTATGCAGACTCCGGAGCCACGCACCATTTCCCAACCACCTACCTGACTCTTCCATATGAACAATGATCCAGTTGAAGGCCACCTCAGCCCCCATGTTTCCGGTAAAGTACACGGCCTTCCGACAGGCTTCGAGAGGGAAGCCCATCTCAGCGAGCTGCATCACTGCTGACTCATCGATGTCTGATGCTGCGGAGAGAGCACAAGACAAGGTCCTCACATGACAAATTCACCATTGCGCCTTGTCTCGGACTCCCTTCACCACCACCACCTAAGGCTACAGAGCCCACAAAAGGGGCTATTTTGTTGGGTGTGGGGGTCATGGTTTTACTTCATTTCGGTTTGCTTTCAGCCATCTCAATATTAAGCTATTTGAGCTGAGCATATGTGTTTGACCTCGATAATGAAAGCAAGATGGTGGCTTGAACAATTCAAGAACTCAAAGACAGTCGCCTGGTTTTGTATGGGACATGCAGTGTATTTCAGAACTTCAGCTCCGCTGATCATTCTCTGGACGTCTCTGCTCAGCCTCTCTTATGACTGAAATATAGAGATGATGCCGTATCTCCTAGCCCCAGAGCCTGCGCCTGAAAGCTCACAGAAAGCTCCAGAAAGCCTTTAGCCACATCAAGCACCATTAGTAAATAAATGATCAGTGGTGGGAAATATAAAGGCCAGATGTTAAGTATAGAAGGAGAAGATATGTTTCTTCATTGTATCTAGGAAACCAAAGTTATGAAAAGAGATGGCTTTGCAAACCCCAGACTCAGACCGGGAGGATTCTGTTTTCTTTTCTTAATAACATATTCAGATTGATAGAGATGGATGTGTGTATACATAGATCTATGTACACCCATATAAGCTTATGCACGCGCGCACACACACAACTCTCACATTGTACCAAAGGGCAGACAGAACACAGGAGCACAAAATGCATCCCTTGTGTTTTCTGGGTCTCGATGTCTCTAATCTACTAAAAATGACCTTGCCTGAAAGATGGCTGGAGGTAGAAGAACTAAAGAATAATTATTAGCAACAAAGCCAAGATTGCAAAGCAGGGTTGAGTTGGCTGTCAGGCTAATGACCATAAAACCCTGCAGAGGTACATATGAGAGAGCTCTAAAACATTCGTGGAAAAATCTAATGAACACATAGTGGTATCTTTCCACAAACTTTTTGAAGTCTCCTCATACATCATCACCGTGTCACTAGCTCATCATTACTAGCAGCTCAATTTGCAAGCAAAGAACTGTTCTGGGGTAGGGGTGTCAAGGGGAGAGCACAGAGAAACACCCCTGTGCTGGACTCCCCCCTCCCTGTCAAGTATGTCGGACAATCACAACTGTAGGACACTGAGAAAGATGGCTAGAGATACATACGGTCTATCAGCTGGTTCATCAGACGATCTGGAAATCAAGAGAGAGCACAAAATGAAGCCAAACCATGTCAGAGAGCTTGAGAAAAAAGCCAAACAATTGATCCAGGGCATTCCCAAACTCCCAGACCCCTGGGGCCTCCCGACTTTTCAACCACTCAACCTCCTACACAGAGAGCCTCAACCTGCGGAGCAGTAAGTGATGGCAATGGACACTTTCAGTCCTTAGACCAGATGCGATAGGATGTTCTGGTCATCATCTGAATGAAGCAACTAGTTCTCCCGTTTGCGAAGTTTGTATAATGACAAGCCGAGAGTTCTGTTTGGGGCACTGGGGAGATGGCAGGGCCAGTACTCATCAATCATCTTGTACTTTTGGTTCTCTGACGCTCACATTGATCTCTTCCTTCTCTGACCCCTTTCATGAACCACCTGGACTACAAAACGTGTCCATCTGTAGACCATAGTTTACGATTTGCCTTAAAGGAATGCAGCAGAAATGTTGCCTCGAATCCTATATTGCTCCTTTGGGCCTACCTTTCTATTCTGTCATACCAGGATATCGTCATCAATAATATTTTGTGCTCCACTGATGGAAAACCTTTGGTGGCAAGGCCTAGAATACTCTATCATTATTAGCTAATGTACCTATTTTACTCATTAAGGAGAACAGTAAACAACTGAGCAAATGCCTAAGCCACAGATGGAACGGATGTTTATGAGAATAACTGAGCTAAAACGACAATGAGGATAAGAAGGAAGTCCTCTACAATTGATTGTGGGGATAAATGCACAACTCTTCTTAATACACTGAACTACTGAATTGTATAATAGTGAGTCATATGCCAATACAACTGTTAAAAAACAGCAACTGAGCTAATAATTAAACTAAGATCTTTCTAACACAGTGCTTAACCCAAGGAGCCCTGGTGGCATAATGAGTTACACACTGATCTAGTAAGAACAAGGTCAGCAGTTCAAACCCAGCAGCCATCCCACAAGAGAGATAGGGCTTTCTGCTCTAATGAAGACTTCCAGCCTCAAAAAACTAGAGTGTCACTAGGGGTCGGAATCGACTTCAGTCGTCTTAGTGGGTGTTCAATTTGGTTCTTGAACGAAGGAGTGCTAGTGTTGGAGTACTAACCACAAGGTCTGTGGCTCAAACCCACAAGCCACTCTGTGGCAGAAAGATGAGGCTGTCTGCTCGGGTGAATATTTACAGTCTCGGAAACTCTAAGGAAAGTTCTATCCTACCATATTGAGTTACTGTGAGTTGGAATCAACTTGACGTAATGGGTTTAATTTTTCTGGTTTGGGTCCTTGAGCCGACTCCTGATGAGTTAAAGTCCTTGGGTGCTAACCAGAAGTGTGGCAGTTTGAATCCATCAGTCACTTGCCAGGGGGAAGATGTGGCTGTCGGCTCAGTCAGGATGTGCAGCCTTGGGAAACCTATAGGGCAGTTCTACTCCGCCCTCTTGGGTCACTATCAATCAGAACCTACTCAAGAGCAGTCAGACAACTGGTTTCTGAATGTCCTTTTCCCTTAACTAGTTAAGTATTCTGAGGACTATGCAAGCTAGCATTCACAGAATGGAAGACATTTTCAAACCCTGCCTCGTTACGAAGCAGCGACAAGGCTGGGGAGGTGAGATGTCGTCAACCATTTACAACAGCGTGTGTGCTGTTGTAAGGTCTCGTCAAGTCGGATCTGATGCACAGCAACCCCACACGTGACACTGCCTGGTCCTGCACCGTCCTCCCAATTGTCACTCTGCTTAAGCCCGTTGTTCAGCACGTGCTACTGAAGTTCCCCGGCTGGTTGTCCAAAGGGACACGGAGGAATGATACCGCTCTTACTGTATCCCCATCCACCTCCCCCCCTTGGGCCTATTTGCAGAAAAAAACTCACTGTCCCTGAGTCCATTCAGATGCAAAGCACAGCTACTGGACAGGATGGAACTGTCCCTGTGGGTTTCCGAGACTGTAACTCTTTTTTTTTTTTTTAAATCATTTTAATTAGGGGCTCATACAACTCTTATCACAATCCATACATACATCAATTGTGTAAAGCGCATTTGTACATTCATTGCCCTCATCATTCTCAAAACATTTTCTCTCCACTTAAGCCCCTGGCATTAGGTCCTCATTTTTCCCCTCCCTTCCCACTCCCCCCTCCCTCATGGGCCCTTGATAATTTATAAATTATTATTTTGTCATATCTTGCCCTGTCCAACATCTCCCTTCACCCACTTTTCTGTTGTCCGTCCCCCGGGGAGGAGGTCACATATAGTTCCTTGTACACTCTTTACAGGAGTACAAAACCTCCCCTTTCTCCCGCAGGCCGATTTGGAGGATGTGAAAATGAAGGAGAGAAGTAGCCTAGAAGTGTTCCAATTTCTAGTGTTCCAATTTTAAGTGTCCAGCCTCGGCCCTGCCTCATCTGTGGGCCTATGGAGGCTGCACAAGGGGAAGACAGCCAAGGGAGGTCTGACGGGAGGTCCTCGTCACCATCAGGAGATGACTGTCAGCAGGGGAGAGTGGGAGGGCAGAGCCCGCCCTGGCGGCAGGAGCAGTACCTTTTGAGTCATCAGGAATGACGATGGGGGGACTGATGTCTGGAAGTTCCTCTTCTCCTGGCTGTAACCCCCTGGCTCGGAGATGGTTGATATCAAGTAGGTCTGGCATGTCAACAGAAACGTCTGCAAGTCGAGAGAGATTGCACTCACTATTCTCTCAGGAATCCACCACCGCCTTAGTCTACAACCGGCACCAACCACTAACTAACTTTGCATGCGTGTGGCAATGTGGAGCTGAGGGAGGTTTTTCAGTTCCCCGAATAAATCCCTGGGCTGGCTAATCAATCATGACTGATTCGATATTCCCGGAGAACCTGAGGAACAGTGCACAGGGTGGCAAGACTGCACACGGAACAAAAAACGGGTTGTGCCAGAGGTCACACACAGGCAGCCCAAGGGTCATTTGCGGCCCAGACATATTCTCTTGGATTTTTTTTTAATTGTTGGTAGTAAATGCCACCTTTTCAATAAGCAGATTCCATTGAAATAATAATAATAATTTTCTGTCTACTTGGAAATAATACACAGACCTGTAGCACATTCTTATTTAGTTAACAAGTGCCTGGGGCTGACCTTCAGCTTCTACCCAGACAATGGCCGTTCTGTGATCTTTTGACACAGACCTCACCACTCCCTATTGCCTCCACGCTCCTGAGCATCATGTCTGTGCCTTTTTGATCCTTAGAGCAATGATTTTCCAGTCCAAGAAAGACAAGGTGGCAGCCAGTTCCCTGTACCCCCTTCTTTCCCTTGCATTATCCTCTGCCCTTTGGGGGCATTTGAGTATCTCACTCCTGGGTTAAATCTTTCCTCAAATCTTGGTGGGTCTTGCGATTATTTGAACTAAGGTAATAAATAGTGTGTTTTAAATGACTAGATGAATCCCAAGAAGCACAGTCTCTAGGGTACGTTTTTATCAAAAAAAGAAAACGTCACAGTTCAGTGGCTACTGTATTGACTGAATTACATTCAAAATGTTATCAGTCTAACAGCGGTCAAGATTCAGTATTACGCCTGTTCAGTTATGGTAGTGCTGGAGAAAATGCGTCCAAATAGGAGTCCAGGATATCTTTTCTGGTCTAGCAAACAGAACCAGAAAATACCGTCCCCAAATCCAGTTCTGATGCCAGGTACCTGAATCCTATTTTAAAATCATCCCCCAAAGAACAGAGCTTGGTAAAAACACAAATTTTATTCCTCAGTGAGTAGCAAAAGCAAACAGAGTATCTATCTGACCAACAAAATCAACCCAATTGATCCTCAAGGGAAAAATTCGGGTTCATTAAAAATATTTTAAATTTGGCATGTCAGTGGGCTCTAATTCAAGTTTTTTTCCTCTACAGAAATCCCAAGGACAAAAGACAAGTAAGACTAAGTGATTCAGCACATACAGAACAAGTCCATTTTCCTCCTGGATACTTGTTAAGCCCACAGAGGGCAGCTGAGTGGCCAGTGTCCTGCCCTCTGCCCTCCCCACCCACAAAGCTCTCCACCAGGAAACGTGAGGAGAATCAGTCAGAGCCCAGCACCATTTCAGCAGCCAAGCCAGACTCTGTACACTGTCAGGCCTGGAGAAGTCTGGAAAATGACTGAGGCCGATTTCACTTTGTTTTGTTTTGTTTAACTCATCCCCTTCAGTGGAGTACTTAAGTAACCAGCATGGAGAGCCAAGATTGGTTTCGGTACTCAAAAACATAAAAACGTGAAAGGACTGGCGAGCAGTCTAAGGCAGCTGCTTGAGAAACCACACAGGGTAAAAGTGGACAGCCTTCCGCACCAACGAGAAGCGGATGGCACAGTTCACATTCGATGGCCAGGACGGTCCTGTGCATTCTCAGCAAAACGAAGCCCTGGTAATGCGCGAGGACCTTCCAATTAGCAAGAAGCCTAATTAAGACAAAATGATAACCCTCTGTTGACTTTGTAATGAAACTGGCTGCACCTATTTCACTATTAATAAAATGTGTGTGGCTTGAGTGAGTGGGATCAGTCACACCTGCCTATTTCCGATGCCGAGGGGGAGGGGTCCAGGCAGTCCCCAGGTTACAAACAAGGTCCCTTCCTAACTCTGTATTTGAGAATTGGGAGACAAGCCATACCGGTGCACAGGTTCTCATTCAGCCTTAAATGAGAAGTCTGTGCAACCCTTTAAAAGCTCCACCTGCAGCAAGGGACGGTGATGCTGCTGAGGACTTTGTTTCCAGCAGGGGGCGGGGTTTCTTCAAGAAGCCCTGGGGATACAGTGGTTACAGCAGTCAGCTGCTACCCAAAAGGTCAGCTGTTCAAACTCACCGGTTGCGGCAGTCTGCGCCCAGGATGATTTGCAGCCTATGGGAGTGCCAAACCCTATGAGGCAGTTCTCTCCGTGTTTCAGGGCTTGGTTCAGTCACCTCAGAGGGAGAGCATGCTCCTCTCACTTTGAAGATGGAGCAGGAGTTGTCAGTGACCTGAGCTTCATAACCCAGGGACTGCCTGTAGCTTTGACTACTTGCTACTCAACATGTGGTCCTGGGACCTGCAGCACCAGCTTCACCAGAGAACAGAACACAGGACTTCAGCCACCACCCCTGCCCCCCGATCTGCGGAATCACTTCATCCAAACCCCACTTCGTGTGCACACTGAAGTTGGAAATGCGGTGCTTATTGGATCATGTGAAGATCCCGTATTCACCCCTAGAATCCAGTCATTCCCAATCCCCTTGCGGTGGGAAGGGTTTGTGTGCCATAGGTTTTATGGCTGGTGTGTCTTGTACACTCTGATTCCAGAGAGAGGGACAGGCAGGGGGCTTAAAGGTAAAAGACTGAAACAGAATGGATTCTGGCACCAACCACATGGGCTCTTTTACATGCCACGTGTTCGAAATGGCTAATGTGGTGTTTTAAGCAAAAGCATGCAAATGATACCTACCAAATTTTTTGGGAACCCAGTCAAGACCAAAAGTGAACTTCTTTATCTGCACTACCAAGTATTCGGGGAAGGAGGCAAAGCGGGATGTTCTGGGAAACACAAGGGGATTAGATCAATGAAACAAGGCAGCAAGAATTGTGAATACAATCCATCAAAGCATCACAAGCGGTCTGAGGCGTACCCACGGCACCTCGGAAGGGGTTCACAGACAGGGTACACACACACAGGCGTAGCTGCCACGCAGGCCACACTCACCACGCTGCCTCTTCCCAGGCGTTCCACAAAACCAAAATGGTTAATGCCAGGGACTATTGCCCTTGAGAATGACAGCGGGGCCCCTTCAAAGTTTGCACTTGATTGTGGCATTTTGCATTTCAAAAAGTCCCTTTCAGCCCTAAACATGTGTTTTTCTAAAACTCGTGCTAGAAGTTAGGTGTGTGCAGGCACATGGGCACCGTGTGAAAGTGTGAAAAAAAAGCTTCCACGTACTCCTAACACCGCCCCCCCCCCTCCTGAGAATCCTTACTTGACACACAGCTAGCATCAGGAGGTCTATCATTACAAATAAGGTTGATTAAAACGTCTAGGAACTCTGTGAAGCACCTCGTACCTAGACTCTGGGTCGCATGGATCCTAGGCATGGGGACATGAGAAGTGTGTGAAGTGCCTACAGTAAATCATTCTGGGCATTAAATTTTAAAATGAGTACAGTAGTCAGGGTCTGCACTTTCTCTTCAACCTTCTCAGAAAAGCAGCATTGTACACACAGCTACTCACCTGTGTGCCAATGCCACCGCCCGCTCCGGCTCATTCTCTCCATGAGAGCACCGCCCTTAGTTCGGATGCTATTTCTCTCTGAGTGTCACATATGGGCTTGGTGGGCGCATGGATTCTTTTTTTTTTAATGGTCTGTAACTTTGATGGGGTGTAACTTTTACGGGGGTGGGGGGTGGGGGGCGGTGTCAAGGGAAAGATGAAGCAGTACAAGTGCTACCTTGGGTGAAGGGGAAGAGAGTAAACCACAAAAGGAAGACGAGAAATCAGAGTGGGGGAGATGGGCAAGGGCAAACTATTCGGGAATTCTTGGGTGAAGGGGAAGAGAGTAAACCACAAAAGGAAGAAGAGAAATCAGAGTGGGGGGAGACGGGCAAGGGCAAACTATTTGGGGATTCTTGGGTAAAGGGGAAGAGAGTAAACCACAAAAGGAAGAAGAGAAATCAGAGTGGGGGAGACGGGCAAGGGCAAGCTATTCGGGGATTCATACGTAATTTAAATTGTTGAATACGAAACTGATGATCTGAAATTCAAACACCCCCCATCCCACCCCCTTGTCATCCACAATAAAAATTTTAAACATGATCTGTAGACAAAAAAGATTCTAGAGCACTTCTCCCACAAGCCTCCTTCCTTTTCAGAATTTGAAGCCTCTATTTGGTTTGCATCTCCCCCCAGAAGTCAGAAACAAATGCTGCTGCTGCCCCCTGGTGTACAACAGGAGCGACAACGCAGGGGCAGAGAAGGAGCCATACAGGAGTCCAGACGGGATGGAGCATCCCTGGCCCTCCCCGCAGTTCCACGTGCACATCTGCAACACGGATTGATTGCTTATGTCTCCCAGTGCTGGACCACTTCCATGAAATGATGCGAAACCACGACTCAGGCTACAAACTGTGAAGACTGTTTTGTCATCAAAGAGCTACGATCTATGAGGTCTTAGACACTGACTCCATGTGCGACTGATGTGAATTTTACCCAGGGCAAGTCACTTGCTCTCCGTATCTCCATCACAAGGATGGTGGAAGGGCGCAGGCGCTAAGAACAGGGAGGCTCTCCGGAGACATCTGCCTAAGAAATCGATGGAGCTTTATCCTGGCTCACGCTCCAGAAGTGTGTGTGCCCTCGAGGTAGGCATTGCCATATTCAGAGAAGTGATAAGGAATGGCACTCTTAGTTCAAAGTAGCCAGGTTCTCCATTTCCCTAAAAACGGGGTTGGGGTAGTCATTCTGATTCTTCCATCCTTTGGTACATACCAGCAAAGAGCATCTGACAGGCTATTTTCAGCTGCCATTTCAGAGTAAAAATGCTACTTCTGTGACTTCTCTTACCAAACAAACTCAAATTCTGAAAAACGCCTGTGAATTCAACCAACTCAGCAGGGGCTTCAGTGAATCGTGTCCCAGGAGCCCTCGGACATTTCAGCCACTCTGATGAGTTTCTGGGTGAGGTGTCAGCTGGAAATGGGGAAAGGCAGGGCTGGGCTGGGAGGAGGAAAGAAATCACACTCATTTAACGCAGCTCTTGCTGTCCGTGACTGACGGAACCTACAGGCAGCAGGTACGATGACACCCACGCCTGCCCAGCATTGGTGTCTCATCTTATAACCTCTACAGGGGCCCAAATTAATCCTACATGTGATCACTGCTGCATATTCAAAGCAATCTCAAAATTAATACTCTGAATTCATTAACTACAGGTCTGGCACATCGTGTTCTTTGGTTAAACACAGCAAAGCCATACGTTATCATACTCTTGTTCCTAACACAAATGTCTGGGATCAGACTTGTTTTTTCTTGAAAAGCTATAAAATGTAATAAATCACCACTAGGATACAAATCCATTCCAAAGGACTGAGATGGACACACAGATTTACAAGAATGGGTTACCCAAGCGTAGGGAGGAGGTATGGGTGGGAGGAGGGTGAAGGAAATGTTTTATTTCATCTACACTTTTTTTACAATACAAAGGAATTCATGTAAACCTTGTGTGCTTAAAAATACATCATAAAACTATGGCTAAGACACAATTAGGAGCTAATTGCAGGGCATTAAATAATTTATTATGTGGCACTCCTAGCCAAAGTCTTTAACTCCAAACAATGTTTTCCTCCATGGATCTGCTAAGCTGGTGAGAGAAGATACAGATAAGATTGACCTGTGAGTAATTGCAAACAGGAATTGCTGGAGTGCCTTCCGGCTGTGTATAAAATGAGCCCTCTGAAAAGCAGGAGGAGGGATCTCATTACAAGCAAGAGCCAGGAGCCTGTCCTCTGGACCCAAGATTATTGCACAGTGAGCCTCCTGGGTCCATCAGGGGAGCAGCAAAGAGAATCAGGTTGCAGAACCTGGAACAGAGTGATGAACTTCCGAACCCACAGAGCAAGGAAAGCTAAGTGCCTTTGTGCAAGAGGCTGGCTTGGGGTGGGGGGGTGGGGGGGCATTCCTCTGGGCTCTTAACAGGGGATGGATGCCAGGCTTGCTGACCCACAGAAGCGGAGCTGAGTGCCTTCAGGCTGAAGCTTACAGGCGGGTGTGCAGTGCCTAAGGCACTTAATTCAGGGATCTGGGTTTGCTGACTCCCTGAGATTGAGCTAAACACCTTTGAGTTGAGGCTTACAGCAGAGTGGTATGCCCCTTTGGGCATTTGGTAACACACCTGAAAGAATGTTCCTGAACATGTCTTGATAAGCACCCATCCTGAGCATAGCACATAAGCTGACCAGAGCACATAGGCCAAAGATTCCACATCTCCTGACTGCTTTCCCACGGGCTAGAGACTCAGGCAGTAGAGAGCTAATGCCTTCCAGCTCCCTTTTAAAGACAGGCCTTTTCCAGGTGATGAGAAGGCTCGCTCCCGGCAGGGCACAAGCCAGGGAGATGCGGACCAGAGAGCATGTCACACCCTGTGCTGCACCGACCACAGCCCCTCTTCTGAGGGACAGGAGAGGTTGTCAAGGGACTGAATCTCATCTCATGCTGGGGCTCAATGGGCTGCCAGGCCCTGTTCCACCTCCCAGATTCAGGATGAAAGCCCAGAGAGAAAGAATAAACAGCTGAAGAATCTCCAACCCATGGGCAAAGACCAGAGAAATGATTTCTGCCACTCATACAGTGTTAAAGGAGCCCTCGTGGCCCTGTTTGGTAAGCACTGGACGGCTAACTGCAAGGCCAGCAGTTCAAATCCACTAGCTACTCTTCGGAACAAAGGGGAGGCTCTCTGCTCCCATAAAGATTTACAGGCTCAGAAACCCTACGCAGGGTTGTTATGAGTTAGAATCAACTCAATGACCGTGCATCTCTCACATTTACCATGCCACCTCACCACATGGTAGCTGCGTGGGCGCACACACACACACACACACACACACACACACACACACACACACACACACAAACTGAGCAGTCCCAAGATAAAAACTTAATGAACAACGGACAACTAATAGCTTAATAAACTATTAATCCACATTAAAACATGGGAAAAGTATGTTTTAATCTGCCCCTTTTTAGCTTTTGAAATGGACTGTGTTCCTCTACTGTTGTAACCGATGACGTCTACCATCTGAAACCAGGAGGAACGCGGAAGGTAAGTCCTGCAGAGTAAACAGGATTTCGATGTGACTGTCTCTTCTAATGGGCACACACCGAGCTCTGAGGCACTCACAGCCTTTTCTCCACCGAGAGACCCGTCTTAGAACAGAAGGGAAAGAATCACAGAAAGTGGTGAGATCTCAGAGCCAAACTGCCAGATTTAACTGTGTGCCACCATCGAACTCTTTTTCCAAATCTGTGCAGCTGCGTGAACTGTTTTGGCAAGGCCTAACCAGTATTAAATCATGGAGTCAAACAGATCTTTTTGCACCTGATGACTGGCCCCAAAATGTGGAAGCCGGAGGTCTTCTGAGGGAATCCTGAGCAGCCCGGGTAAGTGCAGCTCGGGACGCCTGCGCACGCACGGAGGTATCTCCCGGACCCGGGCCTCCCAGCAGGGACACAGTCAATCGAGGGCTAAACCAAACCTTTAGTTTAAATAGACTATGGAATTTAAATCTATCACAATGCAGTTTCAACAATAAAAATAAGATTCCATGAATCTTATTCCTGTCATATGGAGGGTTTTTTCCTTTGTTGTGTTTTTGGGGTTTTTTGTTTTTGGCTGCCCTCTCGGCAAAAGTGGGGCTGGGGAGAAGATAAATCCCTAAGAGAAGATAACCCACAACTTTGCGTTTTGAAAATGGCATTCCCTCCCTGCCACATAATACAGATTATAAGCCTAATTGTTTTCGTGGACAGGTCTCCCACAGGTGATGTGCCTGACAGCTACGGAGCTGCTTCGTCACAACTGTAACCTGCCATCCACAAGCAGGCACCTGTAGACACAGAAGGCCCCGCCCCCGTGCCCACTTCCCAAGTTCCCCTTCTCCCTCCCCCATTACGAGCCATCATTCAAACACACGCACTAGTGACTGCCTGCGGGCGGACGGACACACACACACACACACACACACACACTCACACACACACACACACACACTCACACACTCTCTTACTTCACGCCCGCGGACTTGGCTTGCAGGGCGCTGCTCCAGAAGTCATCTACGTTCTCTGGTTCCGAGAAGGCCTGAAGGCAGGCGCTGAAAGGTATCTTGGCCCGAACCAACTCGGGCAAGGGTCTTCTGTTTGCTTCCGCTTCCCTTCTCGTCAATTCATAGGCGATCAGCTCATCTGCGTAAAAGAGGAAATGAACAACCTCACTGTCGCTCTTATCTTCTTGAAATGGAAAGCTGGGTCTTTGGACAAGCCCCTGAGCGCTTCCCGGCTGGGTCAGGACTGCTCGCCGGTTGCCCATCACAGAACCACACACGCCTGCTGAAAGGCTGGGCTTGTGGCTGAAAGGCTGGGCTTGCCATCTTCGCAGTAGAGCTGGCGGGCTGTGGGAACCACTCTCCAGTGCTGGCCTTGTCCTGTCAGACGGGCAGGTGGGGACTGTGAGCATGGGCACAGGTGGGACCTAAATGCACATTGTGTTAGACAGGTTCTCTAGAGAGATAAAACCAAATTCCTGATAATATAATATATTTATTTATAAAGATAATTAGATATACAGTGAACCCTCGTTTATCGCAGTTGATCGGTTCTATGAAATTCCGCGAAGTAGGATTCCTTATTTGTAAATCAAATATTTTCGTAGTTAGAGCATAGAGGACATGAAAAAACACCCTTTAGTCACCATTACACTCGTATTAACCAATTTATTAAACGAAAAAGGGAAAATACAGTAAAACATTTTGGACGTTACAATTATCATTTATTATTTATTATATTATTTATGGCATCAAGCGTGTACAGTATGAGCCAATCAGTAGCAGTAATGACAGAGCATGCACTGTTACGCAAAAACCGCGATAGAGTGAAGTCGCGGAAGTCGAAGCGCGAAGTGGCGAGGGTTCACTGTATAACGAGAAATGAAATGTTAAATCATAAAGATAATTAGATATATAACGAGAAGTGAAATGTTAAATCATATACAGATAAATATTCAATACAAGAAATAAACAGTTAAATTAGAAGCACTATAAATGGCTTAGTGCAACTCACGTCTGTGAGAGAAAGTTGAGAGACTAGCAGTCCTTCAAGTCTCTATCTGATGCCAGATCTTCCTCTATTTGTAGAGAGAGCTAGGCTATGTCAGCACAACAGCCAATCACAAGGCAGGTCACCAATCGCCAGTCCCCAGCTCCAGAGAAGTCTTAAAGGGACCTCAACTTACAGCAACACAGTCCACAGGCTAGGTGTCCCACAGGCTGTGTAGCCTTTAAATTGAAGCACAGAACAAGCAAGGCAGCCGCACACTGGTCCAATGATCACAAAGCGAGAGACAAGAAAGGCAAGGCTCACCAAGCCATTTATCTCTCCGCCCTTCAGTCAATCCCACCTACGTTTATCAGCCAGGCTGGCACAATAAACTATCTCACACATGAACTAGTCTTTCTTTAGTTCAGAGACCACCTTCCAACCACTAAGCTTCACTGAAACTTAGCACTTTTAGCTGAGAGAGACCCAAGGGCTCACCTCTTTCCAGACACTGCAATGCCAGGCTACAGAGACTGAGGATCCCGTCAAAATCATCAGTAACAAAAACGCCAACCAAACTTACTGCCATCAATTCACTGTGACTCAGAGAGACCCTACAGAACACTATGGGACTTCCTTGGTGGGTGTCTGAGATGTTAACTCTTAAAAACCCTCGTCTTTCTCCCCCGAGAAGTAGTTGGTGATTCCTAATTGCTGGTCTTCCGGTGAAGAGCCCTCCACTGCGCCACCAGGCCTCCCAATCAAAGCTGGACTTAAACCTGGTCCACATCTCGCCCCACTTCCACGGCCCCACAGGTCAGGAAAGAAACAAGGCTAAATTATGCCAAGAGATCAAATCTTGCCGATGCTCAGATCCATTAAAATGTAAACGTTCCCCAAAGCATTCCTATTAACGGGGAGCTGTTCTAAAATGAACTAACAAGGGGAACAGAAGATAAAAATAAAAAAGAATGAGCTACCAGCTCCTAACATAGACCAGTCACAAGGTTAGATGTCTCCTCACTCGGTTCTACCAGCAATGATCACTAGAAGTCGTGGAAGATGTGGTACAAGGACAATGACTGAGAGGGGCTGGATATGCAGCACCCACTAACCCTACTAAGCCACAGGTTCCCAAAGGTACTTAGCCTACAGTCCCCTTTTAGGGGTGGGGAGAAATTACTCAGCATCCCCACCTTGGCAGTGAAAACCTTTAGTACTCTAAGCATAATCCAGGATAAGGTGTACATATCTGCTAGTTAAGCAACACCCGCAGGTATTGCTTACAGTCACCTTGCAGGGCTTAATGCAGTATTCCCCAGGGCATGGTAGCATCCATCTTCGGAAAGGATGCAATACACAATAGTGCAAGGCCATATGGCCCCTGGGGAGGCTGCCTAACACCTCGGATGTCAGAGCAGTCAACCACACTGTCCCCCCGGTGATACAGTTAGTATGCTTAGCTCTCAAGGGAAAGTTTGGAATTTGAAGTCCACCTAGAGACACCTTGGAAGAAAGGGGCCAAGATCTGCTTCTGGAAATTCACCAACTGCAGGACATGGGGCACATGGAGGGAGGGGGGGGGAAGCACGGGTGGTGGGGGCAGGTAACTCTACTCGGATATGCACAAGGCCTGCTCCTTCCATGCTCTCCCTATCCACACAGGTCAACCCTCAGACAACGGAAGTACCAGCAGGAACTCTCAAAGGTTGTACATTTGCTCCTAGAAATATTCTCCAAATCAACGTTTCACGTACATTTTGATGACTATGTAAAGAGAAATTATTTTGGGTTACCCCAAAATCCCTACCCAGCTGATCAGATTTTTAAGAACGCCTGTGTGTACATGAAGGCGGCCAGGTGCTGCTGTGGGCAAGGGGTAAGTGCTGCGCTGTTAACCACAGGGGCCATGGTTCAAATGCACCAGCTGCTCCGCAGGAGGAAGATGAGGCCCTCTGCTCCCATACAGATTTACAGTCTCGAAAACCCTATGCAGGGTCTCCATGAGCCAGAATGGAAATGGCAGTGGGTCTGGCTTGGGGGAGAGGGGCGGAGGGGGGTGGTGCCCTCATGTCTTTTCCAAAACACAGCTGAATGTGACTTAAAAAAATAGTGATGTATAAATGAAACATTTGCCTCTCAATAATTTCCCCATATTCAAGTCGGTGACATTAATCACATTCATCATGTCTAACAATCACTCCCACCCATTTCCAAATGTTTCCATCATGATACCTTAGCCAGAATCTCCTGCCCCTCCCTCCCACCTGCCCCTAGCAACCCCTCATAAACGTTGCTCTGTACACATTTACCTTTCAGACCTGTCATATAATTGGGATCATAGCACGATTTGTCCTTTTGTGTCTGAGTTCTCTGAATATGTTTTTGAAATCCAATCCTCTGGCCACAATCAGTGTATGATGCTCTAATCCAGAGGTTCTTAACCTGTGGGTCATGACCCCTTTGGGGGTCGAACGACCCTTTCACAGGGGTCACCTGATTCATAACAGTAGCAAAAAGACAGTGATGAAGTAGCAACGAAAATAGTTTTATAGTTGGGGGTCACCACCACATGATAAAGGGTCACGGAGTTAGGAAGGTTGAGAAGCACTGCTCTGATCCAATGTCTTGTAAATGACCACTCTCAGCAGTCCACTGCCAGAAACTGAGTTATAAACCTCCCTCCTGGAAAAACAGCTGCTACAAATCAAGTACAGAGTGTGGGTGACAGGCAATCAGGCACCGGGGCAGAACCGCTAAGTCCGGATCGGCGAGTGACTTAGCCTCCTTCTGGAAGGAGACCCAGCACAGGCTCCACTTTCACCTGTCCTACGGTGAAAGAAGGGAGAGCTGGCCCACCGCTTCGTGCGCTTATAGACAAAATAAAAATCCATGTGTATTCATACAAGTGCAATTCCTACTTACACAAAACTGAAATCATTCCCTCTTTACAACTGCTGCCAAGTCCATTCCAGCTCATGGCGACCCCGTGTGGCAGAGTACACTGGTGCTCCATGGGGGATTCCAACAGCTGGTTTTTCCCAAGTCGACCCCCAGGCCTTTCTTCCCCAGTGCCTCTGGCAGGTTCACACCTCCGACCTTTCCATTAGCAGCCGAGAGTGCTAACCATTGGCTCCACCAGAGACTACCATTTCATCTAAAAACTTGTCCTAACTACCACTGTCTAATTAGCACAATCAGTGGTGTCCCCTCCCCAAAGCAATAGCTCAAAAGGCCACCCTGGAAGCATCCCAGATTTACAAAAATGGCCAGTCCTCCGGAGAAAAGCAGCACGGCAGTCACATTGCCTTTTTTCTCTCCCAGGATAGCAATGCGAAGAAACACGTCCGCTATGCTGCCTGGGAAGAACTAAACTGCACTGAATACAGGAGAGAGCAGCTCCCCAAGCTGCCTCCCTTTGCCACAGCATCCTGCCTTCTCCCTGCAAACACCAGAGACCGCTGTGGGCCTCACTCCGACAAAGAGAGAGCCCTGTCCCCATGGTGCCCCAGGTGTCTTACAGACTTAGATGCCAAGGCTGCGCTACTGCAAAGGAGAACTCTGCTTGAATGTCTCCCATTAGAACACGGAATGCTCATCATTTCCCTCGAAAATGATCCAATTGATGGGCAATGTTGTTAAGAATCTTCTACATACACAAATGTATTACAAACCGTTTGCCCCCAATGAAACTGGCTCCAAAATTTGGGTGACCAAATTTCTGGGCGCTGAAATAGCCTCTGTCCAAACCCTATGTACAACCTGGATGCAGTCAGGTGCTCTCAACAGGAAGGGGGAAAATGAACAGAGAGGGACAGACCACACACCACCTGGGCTACATCTACTCCTGCTTCCACTTAAGCGTGTGCTCTCTGCTTCGAGGGCTTTCACCCAGAAAGAAGCATCTGACAGCGTTTACCTTTGTTGGTTGCTGCCTCCATGGCCACCGGTAACTGCATCAGGTAATCCACCCTCTCCGTGTAGCGGACTTTCCGGGTCTGACAGCACTGAATCCGTTCTTCCACCAAGAACCGGAAAACATCACTTGGATTTTCTGAGCCAATGCGGTTCCGCTAAAGGTTGGAGTATCTTCGGGTTAGTAAGTTTCTAAATAATAAGCCGTGAATAAAAACTAGCATGAAATCAAATACAAAGGCAGTGCAAAGGCCTGGCAGTAATAAAAATGTCCTGCGGGCAAGTCAGTTCATCAGAATGTGTTCAGAGCAAAACACCGGCCTTTTAATGAAGTCCTGGAATAGGGGAAGGGACAAGTCAACTATCGCTCATCTTTGTGCAGGCGTCAGAGGCAAAGGGCGAGGACGGACATAAACAGAATTACAGGAACGAAGGAAGCGGAGCAATCAGATGAAGAAGAGGAAGGGGGAGAAACCAGGCCTGCTCTGGGAACGGAAGGCACGCATGATGATTAAATAAATGCACTCAGATCGTTCCATGCGGATGAAGAGGAAATCACGCGCTAATCGAATAGGCAATGACGTGGGGAAGGGCTCAGGACAGGTTAAGTGGAAAACACGGCCCACAAAACAGCATGTGAATGGCAGGATAGAAATGACAGAGGCGCTTGGAACACCACACGAGACTCAGACACTGGAACGCTAGCCCTGGACGTTTCCGGGAGCTCACTCGTGTGATGGGGATGTTGCTTTTCTCGTGTATGCTTCTCCGTATTTTCCACAAAGAGCACGTGTGTGTGTGTGTGTGTGTGTGTGTGTGTGTGTGTGTGTGTGTGTGTGTGTGTGAGAGAGAGAGAGAGAGAGAGAGAGAGAGAGAGAGAGAGAGAGAGAGAGAGAGAGAAAGTTCTTAGGGTTTAAAATAAAATAACTGGATCTTCCACAGGAATCTTCAGTGGCATTGAAGAGCGGCAGTGTGTAGTGTGGCTTGACTGCTGGGACGGAGGAGTGGTGTCAGGGGAACAGCAAACCCCACCTGGGAGCCCCCAGGAGTTCTATCATGGAAGTCACACAAAGGGAAACACACCTCTGCTACCTGCACCAGAAAAGCCCAGAGACGTCCACAAATGCCTAGACAATGAGGTGTGTGCAGCGATTGGTAGCCAGTGAGCTAAGCAGGGAGGGCTTCTTAAGTCAGTTCTGAACTAGTGTGAGCAGAGAGATTCCAGGCAGCCGGGAGTGGGGGGGCCTCTGCCCACGCCACGTGGGACTCCCCAGGAGCCAGGCACACGTCTTATCATCTCCTTTGAGCAATTCTGCAGACAGGCTTGCTTACTTACCTCTACTAGATTGACCAGGTGCAAGAAAAACTCCTGGGCATCTTGCTGTCTATTCGATGAGAACTCTGGGTGGCTCTTGCTTACAAAGGCTTTAAACATGCGTGGTGAGATCCCATTCTGTTGAGGCTAAAGCATAAACATAGTATCACTGTGTGATAGCTAACTTAGAAGGCCTTCTGACAGCCCTAAGGGGCCAGCAGAGCAAGGGTTACCAGAAGACTGGAAACAGAAAACTGGAGCCCACTCAGGGCTAGAGCCCAGACTCACTGGCTCTGCCCTCTGAACCTGAGGGGAATAGGAAGGCGCTGTCTCTTCTGAAGACTCAGGACTGATGCCAATGGGTGACTCACACACCCAAATCCTCTTTTTTCTTTTATATGAATCATTCTATCGGGGCTCTTACAGTTCTTATCACAATCCATACATCCATTGTAGCAAGCACATTTGTACCTATGTTGCCATCATCATTTTCAAAACGTTTTCTTTCTGCTTGAGCCCTTAGTATCAGTTCCTCTTTTTTTCCCCTCCTTCCTCCACCCTCCCATCCTCGTGAACCCTTAATAAATGATCAATTATTATTTTCATATCTCACACCATCCACTGTCTCCCTTCGCCCATGTTTCTGGTTGCTCGTCCCCCTGGGGCGGGGGTGGGGGTGGGGGTTTATACGTGAATCATTGCAATTGGTCCCTCTCCCCTTTTCACCCTTCTCCCCCAACCTTACCCCTACCCTCAAGGTATCTCTACTCCCATTATTGTTCCTGAGGGGGTTATCGCCCCTGGATTCCATGTGTCGAGAGCTCTTATCTGTACCAGTGTACATGCTCTGGTCTAGCCAGATTTGTAAGGTAGAACTGGGTCATGATAGTGGGGGGGGGGAGAAAACACTAAAGAACTAGAGGAATGTTGTGTGTTTCGACAGTGCTCTACTGCACCCTAACTGGCTCATCCCTTCTTTGTGACCCTTCTGTGATGGGATGTCCAATTGTCTACAGATGGGCAGTGGGTTTCCACTCTGACCCCCCTCATTCGCATCGATAGGTATGATTGTTTGTTTTGGGTCTTCTGATGCCTGATACCTGCTCCCGTCGACACCTCGTGATCACACAGGCTGGACACCCCCAAATTCTAAACACCGAGGACACCAGAGCCATCCTCCCACGGCTTGCCCACGCGGCCCCTCCCGGCCCAGGAGAGTACACAGGCTGGAGATGCACACAGGGGGAGCGGGAGGGGGCTCTGAGGGCATTGGGAGGAGCAAAGAGCTGGGCCGCATCTTTCTGTGGGAGGGCCCAAGAGAGAACTCCACCTAGAGGCTGGGGGCCACCTGATCACCATACGATGATGCACTTCCCTCAACTCACCAGGACCCTATGAAGCAGGTCCCACAGCCATCCCCGTTTCACAGCTAAAAAACCTGAGAGTGACAGAGGAGAGCCTGCTAGGTCACTCAACTTACAGTATCATGGTGACTGGCATCTCACACACCACGGAGAAAGAGCGGAACCAGAATGAGATGCAGGCTTGGCTCAGCTCCAGTGTCAGGCTCTTTGTGGGAGAAACAGAGCAGGGTCTCGGGGCAACAAACCTCATCTTGTCAATGAGGGGGGAAAGTAAGGCACCCTCGTTCCCTCTGTAAATGTGGCTGTTGCCCACACACTTCTCTAAACGCCCCCTTCCTCAGCTTCTGGGCCTCACTGCCCGCTCCAGAAGTCCCCGGAACTGGTGATCCAGGTCCCCATTGACAGACATTGCCTTCTACTCTTCTCCTCCCCTCAGCCTGTTTCTGGCCCATGTGTCACCTCACCGTGCTCACAATAGCAAGCAGAGGGCACGTCTCACACGCGTTCCAGTGCTCACGGACATCCAGGTAAAGTCTACAGTCTAGAAACCGTAGCCGGTCCAGCTAATCACACAGATGCCATACGTGATGGAAACCCCCCTGGGGCCAATCTCACCAGTGCCCATGTAGTAAGCCATGTTTCTGTTTAAAAAAAATATGGTGAATTGCGCTATCTTACTGAAAGCATGTACTGCTAGGGGCCAGCAACGGCACCATCCTTACAAGTGTCCTTTGCCTGAGCACAGTGTTGCAGCCACGGTGTCGATCCATCTCCTGGAGGGCCTTCCTTTTTCCCTGCCCCTCCACTTTACCAAACATGATGTTCTTCTCCAGGGACTGGTCTCTCCTGACAGCACATCCAAAGTATGTGAGACAAAGACGTGCCGTGCTGGCCTCTAAGGAACACTCTGGCCATCCTTCTTCCAAGACAGATCCGTTTGTCCAGGGTACTTTCAATATTCGTGTGAAAGCATGCCCTAGTCTAAGTCACTATTTACTAGCCACGTACTGCATACAGAGCACTGTGGGAGAAGGTGTTCCCCAAAAGCTTACCGTCAGAGGAAAGATATGAGACACACACACAGATCTAACACAAAAACTGAGGGGCACCACACAGAAGCTGAAACGGTGCTAGCTCCTCTTAGAGCAGGTTTCTCCCGGGTGGTAGCACTCGGGCATCAGAGGACTTGGAGCCTGTGCATTAAAGGCCAGCATACATGCCCAGGCTTCAGAAAGGATCCCAGGGCAGGGCTAAGACACATCCATGGCCCACTTGAGTTACTCACTGGGCTGCTACCCACAAGATCAGCAGTTCGTATCTACCAGCTCCTCCAAGGGAGAAAGATGCTGTTGTCTACTCCCATAAGCAGGTAACAGTCTCAGACACCCACGGGGGCAGTTCTAGCCTGTCCTACAGGTTGACTACGAGTTGAAATCAACTCAATGGCAGTGAGTTTGGTTTTGGAGTGTGAGTTTACTACCTGTAGATCCCCCTCCAGAAAACAATTCAAATGCTGTCACTGCCTTCCCTCACACACTGATGTCTACCTCCATGCAGGCAGTCAACAAAGACATACGATCATAATGCCTTGTCTTTGCATCATGCTGATATTTTTTCATTCACGGAGAAGCTGTTTACTGAGTGCAGTAAAATGCCAGGCACTAGCCTAGGTACTTAGATGAACACTTACCAGGCCCCAGGTACAGTTCTTATCATGTAACGTGTACAGTCTTGTTCGATTCATTTCACCTTTAAGGTGATTGTGGCAACTCTTTCCTCCACTTGAGAGATGGGGAAACTGCACGCTGTAACCTAACTATCCAGCACCACATGGCTTGGTGAGGCTCTCTCACCCTCTCTAATGTCCCACGGCTGTATCTGGCACACACGTGGCTACAGCTCATCCCTAAGCCTATCCAATGGGAGGAGACAGTCCATCCTGGATCCAGAGCAAGCCCTCTCCAAGCCCCTACATGCCTGAGACCATTATCACTCACCAGGCCTGCAATTATTTCTCTTCTCTCAACAGTATGGAGGCACCACTTGGAATAACGCTTCTCCCCTTTGTACATTTCTGTTTAGGCCAGTGGTTCTCAACCTGTGGGTCACAACACCTTTGGGGGTTGAACGACCCTTTCACAGGAGTTGCCTTAAGACCATCGGAAAACACATGCATATTTCACAATATATAATTAAATATTGTTTTGTGATTAATCACTATGCTTTAATTATGTTCAATTTGTAACAATGAAAATGCATCCTGCGTATCAGATATTGACATGATGATTCATCACAGTAGCAAAATTATAGTTATGAAGTAGCAACGAAAATAATTTTATGGTTGGGGGGGTCACCACCACGAGGAACTCTATTAAACGGTCGTGGCATTAGGAAGGTTGAGAACCACTGGTTTAGGCAGTCTCACAGGCATGAATTCAATGCATGCCGCTGCTAGTGTTCTGTCTTACAAACTACAAGCCAAGCTAAGGAGCCCTGGCAGCCTAGTGGTTACACATTGGGCTAACCCTAAGGTCAGCAGTTCAAAACCACTGAAGGACCGGGCTTTGATACTCCCACACAGGGTTAGTCTCGGACACTCACAGGGGCAGTTATACCCTGTCCTATAGGGTCACTATGAGTCAAAGCTGACTTGATGGCAGTGAGTTTGGTTTGGTTTGAGTCCAGCATGGTGTGGCAGCCAGTCCCCAAGGCACAGCAAAGAAAGCAGCTGCTTTTAGAAAGTTCGGCAAATCTAGAAATTTCTGAACTGGCTGCTGCTCTGGGCCACCATCTGCTCTTACATCCAAGAGAAGTGTCAACAGAGATCCTGGTGACCAACACTGGAACCACAGCCCCATGCTCTGGCTGTAGCTCAGTCTCACTCCTTCCCCTCCCACACCCCATCCTCTTATGGACCCACTTCATCGCTTTGTTCGCCCCCAGTCCATCTTTCTCCCTCCTCTGTCCAACAGCAAAACCATCGCTTGTGAGCTGTTCACCACTTGGAAGTTCCTTGAGAAAGCTTCCTAACCAGGGAGATGCTACCCCTCCCTCTACACACATCATGCCGCAGGATCGCGCCTGGATCACAGCTGGGTTTGAGAAGCTAACACAAACGCAAACTCAGCTTCTTCAGTCACACCTGCTTCCCGGGGCCCCAAACCCACTCTCTGTGATGCTCGCTCTCAAGTATTTCAATGTTCTCTTCACACACAGATTCCAGAGGGGCAGGCTCTAAAAACGGGTTTTTTTATTGTTTATGTTAGGTTTCCCTTGAAGTACAGAGTAGTGGATGCATACAGTAACTTATGCAATGGTTTTTCGGGGACAGGGAAGGGGAGGGATGGGAATTGGGGAGCAAACAATGAATGGGGGTCAGGACTAGAACTGATTGTGATGATGTATATATAACTCTTTTTAAAAAGTGACTTAACTATGTAAGTGGATAGATATCTCCCCACAGAAGGGTTATAAGGAAGGGATGATTCAACTAAAGTGCAGTATAGCACCTACGAATCACACATCATTCCTCTAGTTCCTGAATACTTCTCCCCACTACCATGACCCAGTTCCACCTTACAGATCTGGCTAACCCAGAGAACACACACTGGTACAGATAAGAGCTCTCAAGGCATGGAATTCAGGAAATGTAAACCCCTCAGGTACAGTAATGGGAGTAGCGATACCAGGAGGGTAAGGGAAAGGTGGGGGGAGAAAGGGAGAACCAATCACAATGATCTACATACAACCCTCTCCCAGGGGGACGGACAACAGAAAAGTGGGTGAAGGGAGACATCGGTCAGTGTAAAACATGAAAAAAATAATAATAATTTATAAACCATCAAGGGTTCATGAAGGAGGAAGGGTAGGGAAAATGAGAAGCTGATAACAGGGGCTCAAGTAGAAAGAAAATGTTTTGAAAATGAGGATGGCAACAAATGTACAAATGTGCTTGACACAATGGGTGGATGGATGGATTGTGATAAGATAAAATAATAATAAATAAATTGATTAATTAATTAATTAATTTTTGCTTTTAAAGGAGCCCTGTTGGCAAAGTTGCATTCTGCTGCTAACCAAAAGGTCAGGGACTCAAATACACAAGCTGTTCTGTGGAATAAAAATGTGCCAGTCTGCTCCCATAAAGATTACATCCCTGGTTACACTATGGGAGAGGTCTTCTCTGTCCTGTGGTGTAGAGCCACCCAGCTTAGCAGGAAGAACTCCATTAGCTGAACTGCCTTCAACTTCGGACAAGCAGCTCGCTGCCCCTCCCCCCTCCTCCCCTTCCCGCTCCCAACAGACCTGGACTCTCTAGATGTCTCCAGACTCCAGCTTGCCCAATCAGCAAGAAATGTAAACTATCCTGTCAAACCTTGAGCTACCACCTGCAGCTGCTCCCAGCCTCCTTCTGGTACCCTGCTTGCCTGATAAGTAAAGGGGGTCACTGCCTGCATGTTACCCACCTCACCACCACCCACTACACCAGCCCTCTGCCTTAACTCTAAAGGCCTCATGCTTTCTTTGTTTGGTGTCAAGGGTTTCCCATTCTCTAGCCTCGTCTAGAACCAGCTGTAATAAAGGCATCTATATCAAATGGCAAGTGATTACTCTCTCCGGGTATTAGCCACAGGGTGGTTAAGAGTCATAGGCCAACAATGGCAATTGGGTTGGTTTCTTTCTTTTTGATACCTGTTAATGTCATGCCATGTGATGAGCTTCCAAGATGAAGCTAATTTAATCACTGAATCAGCTGCAGCCCTATCAGTGTGGAGTGGATGATTTGCACTTTCAGCCTCAGGAACTTTAAGAAATAAACTCCTTAAAGTCACTTACTTGTCCACTCTTATAAAAGGTGAAGAAAAGGCTCCGACATTCTACAAGACCTCTCTAGAGCACTGAAACGCGAGGAGGTTACTTTGAGACGAAGGTGCACCTGACCCAAACCATGGTATTTTCAGTGGCCTCCTATGCATGTGAAAACTGGACGCTGAATACAGACAGAAGCAGTATCGAAGCATTTGCACTGTGGTGCTGGAGAAGGGTATTGAAAGCTACGGACTGCTAAAAGAACTACCAGATCTGTCTTGGAACAAAGACATCCAGAATGCTCCTTAGAGGCAAGGAAGTCGAGGCTCTGGGGAAGGGCATCTGTGAGGTAGAGAAGAGAGGCAGTGAAAAAGAGGAAGTCCTCCAGGAGACGGGTCGACCTCGTGGCGGCAACACTGGACCCAAGCACAGAAACAAGTGTGAGGGCGGCACAAGACCAGATACCCTGCTTGCCCGAAAATAAGACAATGTCTCATATTAATGTTTGCTCCCAAAGATGCACTAGGTCTTATTTTCAGGGGATGTCTTA